TTTGCGCACAGGTGCAGTCCCTAGACCTGCGCCTGCAATTGAAGTGCGTCTGGTGTGGAAGGGTGGGTCCCAGCTGACCTCTAGGCCCTGGGCAGCACCTGGGCCCCAGGCCCCCGTGCACCCCCCTCTGCCTGAGTCACAGCGCCCGAGTCCCCACGCAGAGATGCGGTGAGCGTGGCTGGACGCCATGGGCTGAGGCTCAGCGTGGGCCTCTGGGTTGCCAGCAGTGTCACACGGAAGCCAGGCGGGCAGTGCACTCTCTCCTGGCTGGCCTTGCAGATCGGCTCCTGCGTGAACCCATGGGGAGCCAGACCGGCCCCTATGGTCCCAGTGGCTGTGGCCCGGCTCATCCAGAAGAGGCACGAGCCCTAGCGTCCCAGGGGAGAGTAGCAGGGCGAGTGAGAGTGAGCTCGGCGGACACCCCTGTATTCTTACCTCACCTCTGTTCCTGTCACCCCCAACCCCTGGTAGCTGACAAGAGGTCGCAGCACATTGCTGACGCCCGCCATGTTCCGTGCCACCCCCCTGGTGGTGAGCACACATCATAGCGAACAGTCAAACTCCTGGTCTCCCAGTTGAATGACCACCCGAAGGGACAATTTGCATATTAGGCTTTTATTATATAGGATACATTTCAATTTCCTCCATATCTTTTCATGGCTTAATAGCCTATTTCCTTTTACCATTGAATAATATTCCATTGTCTAGACATCAAACATTTTATTTATCCACTCACCTACTGAAGGACATCTTGGTTGCTTCCCAGTTGTGGCTGTTGTGAAGAAAACTGCTATAAATATCCATGAAACAGATTTTGCATGGATACAGTTTTCATCTCCTTTGGGTAAAAACCAAGGAACACAATCATGTGTTTAGTTTTGTAAGAAATTTCCAGACTGTCTGTCCCAAAGTTGCTATATCATTTTGCATTTCTATGAACAATGAATGAGAATTCCTGTTGCTCCACATCTTTGCCAGTATTTAGTGTTATCAGTGTTCTGGATTTTGACCATTCTAATAGGTTTTTAGGGGTTACTCATTGTTATTTTAATTTTCATTTCTCTGATGACATGATTTGGAACATCTTTTTATGTGCTTATTTGCCATCTGTATATCTTCTCTAGTGAGGTGTCTGTCAAGGTCATTGGCTCATTTTTTAATTGGGTTGTTTGTTTTCAGACTGTTGAGTTTTAAGAGTTCTTTGTATATTTTGAATTACAGTTCTTTATCAGATATGTCTTTGGCAAATATTTTCTTCCAGAGTGTGGCTTATCTTTTTATCTACTGACGTGTACCTTATTTTTCATTGCATTTTAAAAGTATGTTGTTTTGGCAGTTTGATGGGTTTAAATTGTATTTTTATATCAGTTGTTTTTATTTTGTTTAGAAGTTGCTGCTGTTTTTTTAAAATATAATGTCTTAGAACAGTGGTTCTCAACCTTCCTAATGCCGCGACCCCTTAATACAGTTCCTCATGTTGTGGTGACCCCCAACCATAAAATTGTTTTCGTTGCTACTTCATAACTGTAATTTTGCTACTGTTATAAATCGTAATGTAAATATTTGATATGCAGGATGTATTTTCATTGTTACAAATTGAACATAATTAAAGCATAGTGTTTAATCACAAAAACAATATGTAATTATATATATGTTTTCCGATGGTCTTAGGTCGCGACCCCTGTGAAAGGGTCGTTCGACCTCCAAAGGGGTCGCGACCCACCAGTTGAGAACCGCTGTCTTAGAAGATAGGAACTCAGTAAAATCCCATGTTTGAATTTTTACTTGATTACTTTTATTTTATGAAATCAATTTAAATATAGTTTTATTTGAAGTTTTTTTCAGTCAAAATGCACTCATTCTTTCAGAAAATAATATTTTCTGTGAATATATTTTCCAATGTATTGCTACTAACTATCTCTGGCCCATAATTTGCCTTTTACTGGAATATGCTTTTCTGTTGTTTGTCCATTAATGAATCACTACTTAGCTATATGTCCCTTAGGCAAATCTCTTATCATTCTAAGCCAAAGTTTTATCATCTCAGAGAAGATGCTAATACAAATATCTGCTATTTAAACTAAGAAGATCACCCTAACCGGTTTGGCTCAGTGGATAGAGCGTCAGCCTGTGGACTCAAGGGTCCCAGGTTTGATTCCCGTCAAGGGCATGTACCTTGGTTGCGGGTACATCCCCAGTAGGGAGTGTGCAGGAGGCAGCTGATCTGATATGTTTCTCTCTCGTTGATGTTTCCAACTCTCTATCCCTCTCCCTTCCTCTCTGTAAAAAATCAATAAAATATATATTTTAAACTAAGAAGATCAAATAAAGGAATATTTATGAAAGTATTTATATATATAAGGAGAGAGAGATATTTCTAATTGTTTATTATTGTATCTACCTGTAGGTAAAATAATTCTTGAAATACAGTAGTCACTCAATGAGTATTTTTTAAATGAATGAATGCTTTATAAATTGTATAGCACCATAAATAAATCTGCAAGGATTTTGGGATATAACATTGATTCTCCTTCTTCTACCATGACTAACATCAGTATGTATTATTATGTAGATATTGTTATGTCAAAATACAGTAATTATTGGAACATGAAATCTGTGAGTGTTATACTCAATCGGCTCTTGAATAAAGCTGGATTTCAAAAGAATAATTTCAAAATAAAATAGATTATGATGGTAAAATGATACTTTGAGTTGATGTTTTGATATCCTCTCTGCTATTATAAATCTACTAGAGGCCCAATGCACGAAATTTGCGCAAGGGGCTTGGCCCTCGCAGCTGTGGTGGCTTGCTTAGGCCCTCGCAGCCCCAGCTTGGTCCGAAGGTC